CAACTATGTTTTCCGAGTGGTACCAAGACAGTGTTGGAAGGGTGTTTCAGTATTGTTAAGTCCGATGTTGCTGCTGGACTTAAGGCCAATCAACCGTAGGAGGATTACTAACACCACCACAACGACTTACTACCCAAAAAAGTGAGTGAACCTCAACCCTGTACATTGGACAGGACTTAGGTAACCTCTTAGGGAGTATACACCAACAAATACAGTATACTTCTCTGTGTATAGGTGTATTCCTGTATCTTATTCGTCTTATCCCTTCTAGGTGTATTAGCGGATTAGCGAATATGTGGATTAGCGAATGCGTTGGCCTTGAGAAACCGCATAAATACAACCGCTTGAAAGCTGTATTTCACATGAAATACAGCTTTCTTGGTCGTAACCAAGTCAGCTGGAGTGTAAAATGGCCGAATGATGAATCCAGTTTTGATTTTATTGAGATCGGTAAATCACAGCGCGACTGGGATAGATGGACCAGCCATTTTCCTTCATGAAATGCATATGCAATGTTGCCAGTGAATCACAGTGGGAAGGGGAGGTACCCCAGTTATGTAACGCACTGTGCATCATGCGTCACTATCACTGATGCACTGTGCACCATACATCACTATCACTGTGATGCACTGTGCACCATACATCACTATCACTGTGCACCATGCATCACTATCACTGTGCACCATACATCACTATCACTGTACACCATACATCACTATCACTGTGCACCATACATCACTATCACTGTGCACCATACATCACTATCACTGTACACCATACATCAATATCACTGTACACCATACATCACTATCACTGTACACCATACATCACTATCACTGTACACCATACATCACTATCACTGTGCACCATACAGCACTATCACTGTACACCATACATCACTATCACTGTACACCATACATCACTATCACTGTACACCATACATCACTATCACTGTACACCATACATCACTATCACTGTACACCATACATCACTATCACTGTACACCATACAGCACTATCACTGTACACCATACAGCACTATCACTGTACACCATACATCACTATCACTGTGCACCATACATCACTATCACTGTACACCATACAGCACTATCACTGTACACCATACATCACTATCACTGTACACCATACATCACTATGTTTTCGGAACTAAACATTTTAGAGTGAAAAACCATATATCCTCAATGCAAATAAAGAGAGAATATAAAATAGGGAAATAGAAAGCTTAATCCAATTAGTAATAGGCATAACATAAGCTTAGATGAGGCTAAAAAAAAAACATTAAATAGCGTCTTGATCCACATTTACATATCCATTTTGGGGGCATTTTATTTTTTACAAAGTGGATTTGTTTCAAAAAGGGACTTTTATAATATGTACATTAAAGTATAGTTCTTGGCTAGGGACGGGCTGGTGGACTCGGTCACGCGCCCAGTCAAGCCTCACAGACTCTGCTGAAGTACTTACCAATTTCTTCATTGAAATTTAATGACTATACCGACTATTCTCAGAACTAAAATTGCCATTGATTGAACTTGTGGAGAGTGACTTGTCATTGTCTCCCCGTGTCACCTCATGGCTGGCTATATCTTCATCACTCAAGCTGTCAAGAGTCGTTCTGTGTTGGGCTTGTTAGCCTCAGGATAGTGGAGGTCGCCTGTTCGGTTCTTTCTCCAGTTTCTAACAGTCAGATATGAGGTGGTTCAGCCAATAGGAAGCGAGAGATGCAAGGCAAACTAGCTTAAGCCAATTAGGAGTGCTTCAGAGACCCGCGTGTTGACAATTTAATGTTTTATATGTACTCAAGTGTGCTAATTTTAACTTTGATTCATCCAAAGAACAAGAAAACAAGGACACATGTATATATATATATATATATATATATATATATATATATATATATATATATATATATATATATATATATATATATATATATATATATATATATATATATATATATATATATATATATATATATATATATATATATATATATTAGCTGTATAAGTATTTTGTAATATAAATACATATATAAATATGTACATTTCGGTCGAAACATTCATCTTTCTTGTCCATTTCTCTGTGGATTTTCCGCATACAAATGATCAGTGTTTCGTGATCGTCAATTACACATATATATAACTAAATAATATATGATTATAGACCTCAGCTTCATTAATATATTAGTTAGTTAATTAATGTAATTGAGCATCAGAGAACATAATCTTGGCGGTATGTCGGCTGTGGGAGAGAGGAGGAAGCACCCCGTCTTACTCACAGGGAGCCGGTCGGTCGAGCAGACAGCACACTGGACTTGTGATCCTGTGGTCCCGGGTTCGATCCCGGGCGCCGGCGAGAAACAATGGGCAGAGTTTCTTTCACCCTATGCCTCTGTTACCTAGCAGTAAAATAGGTACCTGGGTGTTAGTCAGCTGTCACAGGCTGCTTCCTGGGGGTGGAGGCCTGGTCGAGGACCGGGCCGCGGGGACACTAAAGCCCCGAAATCATCTCAAGATAACTAACCTCAAGAGATACTCTCCAATGTTTTGGAAAACAAAGTGTTTGACGGCACTCAATTCCACAAGAGGCATCGCTGATGCAGTTCTCTAATATACAGATTTCTAAGTAGCATCCCCTCCCCCGTGGAGAGAGGGGGGGACCTGATGCATGGGTAACAGCTTCTCCCTCTGTATCAACCTACCCTGACTTTGCGCCCTGGAGAGGCCACTCCAGACCGACAACCTGAGCGCAACTCCATAGTCTCCTGAGACTGATGGATGACTACTATTTTAAGCAGCATCCCCCCCCCCCCCGGTGAGAGGTATGTGGGAGTCCATCTCCGACTCTCTCTCTCTCTCTCTCTCGCGACTATCTGGCAGCTCCAGTGACGGATATTATTTCCGGTGCTTCAAGCTTGAGACACTTGTATTGGGGCCGCTGATCTCACTCTTCTCTCGTGAGATGTTTCGGTGTCTGGGCCTTATGTGTTTGTGTTTCATCAACGTTGCCGGGTCCTGGAGAAGGGCCAGCCAGCCTCGTGTATCTTCGTACACTGTAGTGCTAATCACGAATCATTTCCGTACACTGTAGCACTAATCATGAACCATTTTCGAACACTGTAGCACTAACCACGAACCATTTTCGAACACTGTAGTACTAATGACGAACTATTTTCGAACACTGTAGCACTAATCACGAACCATTTTCGTACACTGTAGCACTAATCACGAACCATTTTCGTACACTGTAGTACTAATCACGAACCATTTTCGTACACTGTAGTACTAATCACGAATCATTTCTCAATCCTACGATGATCTTCAAATAACCTGATATTCACTACTCTCAGAATTACTTAAAAATATTGGCATGCTATCCAAACGCGCGTGCGCGCACACACACACACACACACACACACACACACACACACACACACACACACACACACACACACACACACACCCACACACACACACATACACACACTTTCACTCACACACTCCATACACAGTTTCAAGAGTAGATATGATAGAGCCCAGTAGGCTCAGGAACCTGTACACCAGTTGATTGACGGTTGAGAGGCGGGACCAAAGAGCCAGAGCTCAACCCCCGCAAGGACAACTAGGTGAATATAATGAGGCTGAGGATATAATGACCAGACCACGGACCACAAGATGATGAGACAACCACGTTTCGGTCCATCTTGGACCATTAGGTGAGACCATTCTAAGACCTAATTAAGTGGGTATGTTAATAAAAATGTTTAAAGAATCTTAAACATTTTGCCACTTCTTACTAAATGTTTATGATGAGAAATTCGACATTTACAGTCTTTGGATGTTTGCCCTATGTGGCATGTATCGTGTATCATGTATCGTGTATCATCTATCGTGAAGCACGACGTATCATAACCTTTATTAGGTATTTTCCAACTTCCACACTCCTGGGGTTGCTTCTAATTAATAATATTCCAATGTAATTTTCATATTAAACACCGCCTGTAAGTAATTCAGTTTCCAGTCTTAGACAATACAGCCTGAAAAATAAGGTAAGTCTAATACATTTTTTGTTGTGAAATTTCTTGGTGCTGATTTGATTATATTGTGTAAGTTAAGCTGATTTACGTCAAGCTTAGATGATTTTTGCCTACTTTTTTGTAGCCAGGTTGCCATACTTACATATGGGGTGTAGTGAGGTTGCTATACTTATATATATTAATATATATATATATATATATATATATATATATATATATATATATATATATATATATATATATATATATATATATATATATATATATATATATATATATATATATATATATATATATATATATATATATATATTTATATATATGGGGGTAGTGAGGTTGCCATACTTATATATGGGGTGTAGTAAGGTTGCCATACTTATATATGGGGTGTAGTGAGGTTGCCATACTTATATATGGGGTGTAGTGAGGTTGCCATACTTATATATGGGGTGTAGTGAGGTTGCCATACTTACTTGTATATGGGGTGTAGTGAGGTTGCCATACTAGTATTTGGGGTGTAGTGAGGTTGCCATACTTACCTATATATGGGTGTAGTGAGGTTGCCATACTTACCTATATATGGGGTGTAGTGAGGTTGCCATACTAGTATTTGGGGTGTAGTGAGGTTGCCGTACTTACCTATATATGGGTGTAGTGAGGTTGCCATACTTACCTATATATGGGGTGTAGTGAGGTTGCCATACTAGTATTTGGGGTGTAGTGAGGTTGCCGTACTTACCTGTATATGGGGTGTAGTGAGGTTGCCATACTTACCTATATATGGGGTGTAGTGAGGTTGCCATACTAGTATTTGGGGTGTAGTGAGGTTGCCGTACTTACCTGTATATGGGGTGTAGTGAGGTTGCCATACTTACTTGTATATGGGGTGTAGTGAGGTTGCCATACTTACTTGTATATGGGTGTAGTGAGGTTGCCATACTTACTTATATATGGGTGTGGTGAGGTTGCCGTTGAACCACAGGATGAGGAACACAGAGTCGTCGGCTTTGTGTTCAAAGTCGCAGGGTAGAGCCGCCACCCCGCCCTCCACGGCCCGTACTGTAACGACCAATTAGACCCGGTTGGTGCATGGTTGTGGAACACCCTAGTTCAGGTGTCAGAGGTACAGGATGGTTACAGGTGACATATTAGGGGCATGGTTGTGGAACACCCTAGTTCAGGTGTCAGAGGTACAGGATGGTTACAGGTGACACATTAGGGGCATGGTTGTGAGATATGATGTCATGGTACATTGTTATTAAGGGGGTTGTGGTTTAGGTGTGGCCCGGGCGCCGGCGAGAAACAATAGGCAGAGTTTCTTTCACCCTATGCCCCCTGTTACCTAGCAGTAAAATAGGTACCTGGGTGTTAGTTAGCTGTCACGGGCTGCTTCCTGGGGGTGGAGGCCTGGTCGAGGACCGGGCCGCCGGGACACTAAAAAGCCCCGAAATCCTCTCAAGATAACCTCAAGATAACCAGGGTTGTTAAAATAGGGGGTTGTGGTTCATGGTTGTGAAATAGGGAAGGGAGGATTTATTGAGTTATGAGACAGAGAATATATCCAAGAACACTATATCTTGAGGTTATCTTGAGGTTATCTTGAGATGATTTCGGGGCTTTAGTGTCCCCGAGGCCCGGTCCTCGACCAGGCCTCCACCCCCAGGAAGCAGCCCGTGATAACTGACTAACTCCCAGATACCTATTTACTGCTAAGTAACAGGGGCATTCAGGGTGAAAGAAACTTTTGCCCATTTGTTTCTGCCTCGTGCGGGAATCGAACCCGCGCCACAGAATTACGAGTCCTGCGCGCTATCCACCAGGCAAATATATGAAACTACGTAATGCAGATATAACGTTGATGGCCCTCGTTAATGTAACATTTATATATTAACAAGGAGGGGGTTTTGGGTCCATTTTACCTTGTGTGATAAGTATTACGAGACTGTAGAGGAGTGACCAGCAGCTTGTCATGCGTTAATAGAGCCATAGAGCGAGAGAGCTCTGCCACCAAGGTCTAATCAGCAGGTGTGTGTGTGTGTGCTTCTACTAATTACCAGATATATCTTGTCTCTATTAAGGCAGCAACATCAGTAGACAATTCTATGTAAATTACTATCTGTAAAATTGAATCTCTTGATTTAATTAAGGTAAATGTAAGGATTATTAATAAAAATTATATTTTATATAATTTACCTATAATTTGTGCCTTCAAATTGTTTTTTAAATTAAGTCTACTATGAGCTAGTAGGTCCTCTCTAGTAGCAGACAATACTATATATATATATATATATATATGTCGTACCTAGTAGCCAGAACTCACTTTTCAGCCTACTATTCAAGGCCCGATTTGCCTAATAAGCCAAGTTTTCCTGAATTAATATATTTACTATAATTTTTTTCTTATGAAATGATAAAGCAACCCTTTTCTCTATGTATGAGGTCAATTTTTTTTTATTGGAGTTAAAATTAACGTAGATATATGACCGAACCTAACCAACCCTACCTAACCTAACCTAACCTATATTTATAGGTAAGGTTAGGTTAGGTAGCCAAAAAAAGCTAGGTTAGGTTAGGTTAGGTAGGTTAGGTAGACGAAAAAACATTAATTCATGAAAACTTGGCTTATTAGGCAAATCGGGCCTTGAATAGTAGGCTCAGAAGTGCGTTCTGGCTATTAGGTACGACATATATATATATATATATATATATATATGTCGTACCTAGTAGCCAGAACTCACTTCTGAGCCTACTATGCAAGGCCCGATTTGCCTAATAAGCCAAGTTTTCATGAATTAATTGCTTTTCGACTACCTAACCCACCTAACCTAACCTAACCTAACTTTTTCGGCTACCTAACCTAACCTAACCTATAGAGATAGGTTAGGTTAGGTTAGGTAGGGTTGGTTAGGTTCGGTCATATATCTACGTTAATTTTAACTCCAATAAAAAAAAATTGACCTCTTACATAATGAAATGGGTTGCTTTATCATTTCATAAGAAAAAAATTAGAGAAAATATATTAATTCTTGAAAACTTGGCTTATTAGGCAAATCGGGCCTTGCATTGTAGGCTGAAAAGTGAGTTCTGGCTACTAGGTACGACATATATATATATATATATATATATATATATATATATATATATATATATATATATATTAGTATATTTTGGTAGCAGTCTTTCCTGTAGACATATATTATTAAATATGACCGAAAAAGTAAGATTAATAATTCTAACACGAATTTTCTCAATCTTTCGTACATTTCTTTTCACTGTTGGAGGTAATTCAAAAATCAATTCTCCAAAATTCATTTTTATTTCTAGTCTGACGCGACACGAGCGCGTTTCGTAAAACTTATTACATTTTCAAAGACTTTAGTTTACAAATACACAACTGAATAGAACTTATGCATCTCGGATTTTGTTTATATCTACATTTGAGTGAGGTGGATGGGGTGAGGTGGCATTAATAGGGTATTAATTTCATCAACACAAGACAGAACACGAAACAATGGGTATTGAAATGGAAGTGATTGTAGAAAGCCTATTGGTCTATATTTCTTGATGCTTCTATATTGGAGCGGAGTCTTGAGGTGGGTAGAATATAGTTGTGCATTAATTGGCTGTTGATTGCTGGTGTTGACTTCTTAATGTGTAGTGCCTCGCAAACGTCAAGCCGCCTGCTATCGCTGTATCTATCGATGATTTCTGTGTTGTTTACTAGGATTTCTCTGGCGATGGTTTGGTTGTGGGAAGAGATTATATGTTCCTTAATGGAGCCCTGTTGTTTATGCATCGTTAAACGCCTAGAAAGAGATGTTGTTGTCTTGCCTATATACTGCGTTTTTTGGAGCTTACAGTCCCCAAGTGGGCATTTGAAGGCATAGACGACGTTGGTCTCTTTTAAAGCGTTCTGCTTTGTGTCTGGAGAGTTTCTCATGAGTAGGCTGGCCGTTTTTCTGGTTTTATAGTAAATCGTCAGTTGTATCCTCTGAATTTGTCTGTAGAGATAACGTTTCTATTAACAATATCTTTCAGGACCCTTTCCTCTGTTTTATGAGCTGTGGAAAAGAGGTTCCTGTAAAATAGTCTAATAGGGGGTACAGGTGTTGTGTTATTTGTCTCTTCAGAGGTTGCATGGCTTTTCACTTTCCTTCTTATGATGTCTTCAACGAAACCATTGGAGAAGCCGTTGTTGACTAGGACCTGCCTTACCCTACAGAGTTCTTCGTCAACTTGCTTCCATTCATAGCTGTGGCTGAGAGCACGGTCGACATATGCGTTAACAACACTCCTCTTGTACCTGTCTGGGCAGTCGCTGTTGGCATTTAGGCACATTCCTATGTTTGTTTCCTTAGTGTAGACTGCAGTGTGGAAACCTCCGCTCTTTTCCATGACTGTTACATCTAGAAAGGGCAGCTTCCCATCTTTTTCCATCTCGTAAGTGAAACGCAGCACGGAACTCTGCTCAAATGCCTCCTTCAGCTCCTGCAGATGTCTGACATCAGGTACCTGTGTAAAAATGTCGTCAACATACCTGCAGTATATGGCCGGTTTCAAGTCTCACTCAAATGTAGATATAAACAAAATCCGAGATGCATAAGTTCTATTCAGTTGTGTATTTGTAAACTAAAGTCTTTGAAAATGTAATAAGTTTTACGAAACGCGCTCGTGTCGCGTCAGACTAGAAATAAAAATGAATTTTGGAGAATTGATTTTTGAATTACCTCCAACAGTGAAAAGAAATGTACGAAAGATTGAGAAAATTCGTGTTAGAATTATTAATCTTACTTTTTCGGTCATATTTAATAATAATATATATATATATATATATATATATATATATATATATATATATATATATATATATATATATATATATATATATATATATATATATATATATATAGTATTACAAACTACGAAATGTTTAGTGTTCTCAGTATATTGGCAAGACGCAAAGCTACTTACATAATAAGATAAAATATAATTTCTTATGCTTTTAAAAATCTAACAAAGCTGAAAATTTAAGCTTTAAAGAATTACTGAATCTAGAGGTTTGTTAATTGTTAATGACTCATGAACGAGAGTTCCAGGGAAATGTTAATATGGTATTGTGTTGTTATATAACTTAGCAGTTTCTTAATGCTTCTCCATCTTGGTCTACAGTCATCTGTCACTCATCTGGACTCAAGGTAAACTGTCACTTAATTAAATGTCTCCCTCCCTCCTATTCCCTTTAATTCTCTCTCTTAAACACCCTCTCTTCCATTCTCTCTGTCTGTCTCTGTCTGTCTGTCTGTCTGTCTGTCTCTCTCTCTCTCTCTCTCTCTCTCTCTCTCTCTCTTTCTCTCTCTCTCTCTCTCTCTCTCTCTCTCTCTCTCTATCTCTCTCCTCTCTCTCTTTCTCTCTCTCTCTCTTTCTCTCTCTCTCTCTCTCTCTCTCTCTCTCTCTCTCTCTCTCTCTCTCTCTCTCTCTCTCTCTCTCTCTCTCTCTCTCTCTCTCTCTCTCTCTCTCTCTCTCTCTCTCTCTCTCTCTCTCTCTCTCTCTCTCTCTCTCTCTCTCTCTCTCTCTCTCTCTCTCTCTCTCTCTCTCTCTCTCTCTCTCTCTCTCTCTCTCTCTCTCTCTCTCTCTCAGCGCACACACATGTGGTTACATAGTTGGTGTGATGAACAGCTGGAAAATTTGTTAAAAACTCTATGGAAACTTAAACCACAATTTCAGACTTCAAACGAATCGTTGGTCCTCCCAGTAGGAGCTAGTACGTCCTACTTAAAATAGGGGGCTGAGGGTTCGAACCAGACACTCCACTGTGACCTTACCACTGTAGAAAGTTGCACGGGCGTATCTACAAGCCTCTAACCTCAGCCAGACAGATGCATAGGTTTTATTCCAGGGTTAAAGAGGTTCAAGAGGAAACTAGATATATTCCTCCAAGGAGTGCCGGACCAACCGGGCTGTGGTGGGTATGTGGGCCTGCGGGCCGCTCCAAGCAACAGCCTGGTGGACCAAACTCGCACAAGTCAAGTCTGGCCTCGGGCCGGGCTTGGGGAGTAGAA